GCGGCCGAGGGGTCTGTGTCCCCCCAGTGGCGCCTCGGAGCCCCCACCCGGGTCGGTCCCTCTCGAACGCAGCCCAGTTCCCTGCACACCTCCATGAGCCGGGAGAAAATCGATGCTGGGAGGAAGCAGGAGGGGGGACAGCAGCCCTGATGGCCCTGAAACACGTTCCTTCCAGAGGCAGAGGGAAAGGTGTGATGATAAACAGCATTGACACATTGAGCAGGCTCTAACTGACGCCCTCCCTGGTGCTCGACAGCTTTTCCCGGCGCGCTGGCTGTTCAGAACATCGCCGTACCGTTTAGCTCCCCTTTTTAAAAATAAATAAATAAAATTAGGTGGGCAGTTGGCAGATTGCTGGAGACACTCGGATTCTCTGCGGGAAACCGCTCCGCGGCGGGAGCTGGGTTGCTGCAGTTTAGTGGCAGGAGTCATTGCCTCTAATGTCAGCTCGTTAGCTGGGGTGGTTCGCAGTGCTGGAGCCCACGGGGAGCTGGGGCACGGCCCTTCCCGCTATTCATGTGAGGAGCTTGTTTTGTTTCCAACGTGTTAACACCATTAGTGCTGCACAAGACGCGTGGCACGGGCAGCAGGGGACGGTCCCGCTCCTGCCCAACGCCCGGCATGGGTCTGCCCAAGCTGGGGCTGGCAACGGGATCAAGGGGCAGCCGTGGTTAGAGGGAGGTTTGAGTTTGTTCCCAGGGTGGAAAATAGTGATGGTTGAGAGCGTGGAACTCTCAGAAAGGAGACAGGGAGGGGATGGAACCTCTTGCGACACCTCCACCAGCACCCTGGGGCAGTTGTGGTGGTGAGGAGATGCCAGGGTGATGCTGGAGGATGGCTCTCGTGAGCCAAGGGACCCAAATGTCCCCATGGCAGAGCCCGTTGAGCCACAGGTTTCCACACATCCCCACGAGCCTGGCCCCAGCCTCCCGCAGCGGCAGCGTGGGGCTCCAGCCTTCCAATTAAAACCAAACCAGCAACTCAGCTTTCGGCGCGCTGGAGAAAGCGTAATTCCAAACAAAACTGTGCTAAATAAAGCTCGAGCCGCAGGCGGCCGCCGGCTCCGGCAGATCCTCCTTGCTTGCCTGGCTTTAGCTGCCATCTCCCCGTGCTGCCGCTGCCAGCCCGGGGCTGGGGCCAGGGGGTGTCCCCCCAAGAGCTTTGGTGCTTCGGGGAGGTCTCGGTCTCATGGTCTTGGTGAACGTGGGGTCCCGTGTGGGTTGTGTGTCTCACAAGAGCTGCCCCATCCCCAAATCCCCAAAACAGTGTCAGCCCCTTGGGTTGGTCCTGGCGTCCCCCTGCAGCACCCCACGGCTGGGGCATGGGGTTCTTGGATGAAAGGAAGGAAGGAAGGAAGGAAGGAAGGAAGGAAGGAAGGAAGGAAGGAAGGAAGGAAGGAAGGAAGGAAGGAAAAGGCAGCAAAATGAAAGGAAAGAAAGGAAGAGAAAGAAAAATAAAAAGAGAAAGAAGAAAAAGGAAAAGGGAGAGGAAAAACGAAAGGGAAAGAAAGGAAGAGAAAGAAAAATAAAAAGAGAAAGAAGAAAAAGGAAAAGGGAGAGGAAAAACAGAAAAGGAAAAAGGAAAAAGAAGAAAAAGAAAAAGAAGAAACTGAAGAAGAGGAAGAAGAAGAAAATGAAGAAAAGGAAGGAAACCGAAAGAAGTGAAAGAGAGAAAGTGAGGCAAAGAGAGAGAGAGTAAGAGAGGTAAGAGAGAGAAAACAAGTAAGCAGGCAAGCAAGATAGCAAGAAAGAGAAGCTGGAAAGCAGGAAGAGAGGATGAAGCAGAGAGAGCAGGGAAGGGAGGAGGGAAGTGGGGCGCTGTGGAGGTGTGATGGGTTGGGGGAGCCCGAGGGTCCCCGGGAGCGTCCCCCTGGTGCGGGCAGCGCTGCCGCCTCCGCGCTCGCCCGGGCACCTCTCCCCTCCCAGCACAGTTAATCCAGACCCCGGCTAATCCTCCCGCAGGTCACCGCCAGCTCAGTGCATTTTGTTCACTTCTCAAATGCATCCAGAATTAATTAAAAAAAAAACAACCATAAACTCGTCCTGTGGTGAATGCCTTTGCTGTGCTCCCCCCGAGTGCTGGCGGGGCGAGCTGGAGGGGTGATGGAGAAGCAAAATTTGTCTCCATATTCTCTGCACTCATTAAAAAAAGAGGCAAAAAAGCCTTAATGAATAGCCAGTGTAGTGAGGAGGGACATTTGGGACAGGTGATCAGGCTGGAGTTTGGCAGCATGAGCTTGATGTGTCAACTCTGCCACTTTGGTCCCATTTGACTTCCAGTGACTACGAGGTTGTAAATATTCACCATAAATATTAATTCTTTGTGCCTGTCTTACTCTTCCCCATGGCTGTAAGAAGAGAGATGATCTCCTGCCGACTGCTCCAGCCGGGTGTGAGGAATTGTTTGGCCTGTTGACACACCACCAAATAACCATGGTGCTTGAAAAATCAGCTCTGGGGATAAAAAATGGTTGTGCCTGGCTTGCAACAGGAGGAAATAAGTTATCTGGTGTACAGGATGGTGGCACACCTGGGTCTGTGACCAGCACCTGCGAGGTTCAGACGAATTGCTAGTGGTCCTGCTTGTGGTGCTGGGCTTCTGCAGCCCAAGTCCCAGGCTGGATTTGGGGAGAATTTCAGCAGAAGGCAATCCAGGGTATCACTGCCAGCCAGGCTGACGCAGCCCCGGGCAGTCTGGGCCTGGCAACGCTCCCCGGCACTGGCGCTGGGCTGGCCCTGGCCACCGTGTAATGGAAAGGGCGTTTGTCCCAGCACGTCCCCAGGCACTCCAGCTGATTGCAGGAATCGACTGCATCGAGCTGGGGCCCGTACAGCCCCGCGGGCGTCTCTGGGTGGGAGCTGGGCACCTCTGTGCTGTGAGGACAGGGTGTCATGGGGGGCTCTGCACCCCTCGTTGCTGTCCCACGCAGGTCTTGCTGCCGGCAAGGTGGTTTCATCCCCGGTGACACAGCCCCTGCCCCTAAATAACAGGATGAGGTGCAGCAGCGGGTGGTTTGGGGAGTGTTCCTGCCATGCCATCTTTTTGGGGTGTTTGGGATGTGCTGTGTGGCTTCTCCACAGTCCTGTCCACTGCCTGGTGCAGCCTCATGTGCCATGGGAACCCAGCTGACCTGGGCCATGTTGCCCATGTCCATGCTGCTCCCACCTCTCTCCCAGGCGAAGCTGAGTGTAGGGCCCTGACCCTGCAGCTGAGCCCTCCAGAAGGGATCAAAACAGCTCCTCATTCCCAAGTGGCAGTTGTCCATTCCTGGGACTTGGCCAGCAAAACCCATCTGTGACCGTAGATGGCTCCGTGTCCCAATGGATGCATTGGGAACGTTGCTCCTCGGGACATCTGTCCCAAGCGAGTGCCTTCCCTGAGCCTTCTCCAACCAGCTGCTTGTTGGCCGTGTCCTCTCCCATCCCCAGGCTGGGAGATGGAGGTTAAATCCACATCTCCCTGCGGTTTCCCTTGACCCCAGAAGAGCTGGTGCTCGGGTGGTTGGGCAAGCGCTGCTGCGGTGTGCTGGGCAGCTGTCCATCTGGCACGGGCAATGTGAACTGATGGAGCTGCTTTCAGGAGTACCTTTATTAAGATCTCTGTGCTCAGGAGAGCAGCTTGGCCACCCCACTTTCCTCTCCAGCAGCCTGACCCTGCTCTGGCGAGAGCTCATGAGAAAAGCAATGGGGGGAGACTCCAGTGCTACCCAAGGTTTTGCATCTGCTGGTGGTCCCACAAATGCTGAATCTCTCCAGCAAAGTTTGCTCACTCACTTTGTAGAATGAGAGAACAAACTCTTAAGACCTCCTTCCTTTCCTGTGTGTGTTTTTTGGGAACAGCTTAGCCATAGAAGGGAGAGCTGGAGGGGGTCCTCACCCAACAGACCCATGGCCCCTCAGGTCCCTCTGCCATGAGAGGTAATGGCCATGTCTTTGTTTTCTCATTGCAGAACCTCTCACGGGATCCACGTGGTGACGTGGCAGCCAAGACGTGGAAGCTTGGGACTTCTCTTCCACTGCAACAGAATTTGGGGGGTGGGTAGGGGGGGGTCCAGGGGGACGCTGGGAGTCACAAGACCCTTTGCCTTCACTGAGGGCTTGGCTCAGGGATGACCGCAGGCAGAGTCAACCCTTACAGCATCGTGTCCTCCGAGGAAGACGGGCTGAGGTTGACCACAATGCCAGGTATCAACGGCTTTGGCAACGGGAAAATCCACACCAGGAGGAAATGCAGGAACAGGTTTGTAAAGAAGAACGGTCAGTGCAACGTGGAGTTCACCAACATGGATGACAAGCCACAGAGGTACATTGCAGACATGTTCACCACGTGCGTTGACATCCGCTGGAGGTATATGCTCTTGCTCTTTTCTCTGGCGTTTCTGGTGTCCTGGTTGTTGTTTGGGCTGATTTTCTGGCTAATTGCACTGATTCATGGAGATCTAGAAAACCCGGGTGGAGATGATACCTTCAAGCCTTGCGTTCTGCAGGTTAATGGCTTTGTGGCTGCTTTTCTGTTCTCCATTGAGACCCAAACGACTATTGGTTACGGCTTCCGCTGCGTGACAGAGGAGTGCCCGCTCGCGGTCTTCATGGTGGTGGTTCAGTCCATCGTGGGGTGTATAATTGACTCTTTCATGATTGGTGCAATAATGGCAAAGATGGCCAGGCCCAAAAAAAGGGCCCAGACATTACTTTTCAGCCATAACGCGGTAGTGGCGATGAGAGATGGAAAACTCTGCCTGATGTGGAGAGTTGGGAACCTCCGGAAAAGCCACATAGTTGAAGCCCACGTCCGAGCTCAGCTAATTAAGCCCAGGATCACGGAGGAAGGGGAGTACATCCCGCTCGACCAAATAGACATCGACGTGGGCTTTGATAAAGGCTTGGACCGTATCTTCTTGGTGTCCCCCATCACCATCCTCCACGAAATCAACGAAGACAGCCCCTTGTTTGGGATCAGCCGCCAGGACTTGGAGACAGACGACTTTGAGATCGTGGTCATCCTGGAAGGCATGGTAGAAGCCACCGCGATGACGACGCAAGCGCGGAGCTCCTACCTGGCCAGCGAGATCCTCTGGGGCCACCGCTTCGAGCCTGTCTTGTTCGAGGAGAAAAACCAGTACAAAGTAGACTATTCCCACTTCCACAAAACCTACGAGGTCCCGTCCACCCCCCGCTGCAGCGCCAAGGACTTGGTGGAGAACAAATTCCTCCTGCCCAGCACTAACTCCTTCTGCTACGAGAACGAGCTGGCCTTCATGAG